TTGAATATACATATACATATCTATGCATTAGATATGGAGGTGACAAATATGCGAATAAATAGTGCGATTCGAAACGCCCATACAAAATATAAGGAAAAAAGAAAAAACAAGATGGTAAACTCACTCAAGCTACTGAAGATCTTATAAACAAAAGAAGAGAATTGAAAGACAAATACACAGATAATTTTGTAACATTAAGACAGTTAAACAAAGATATCACAAAATCCATTCGAAAAGATGTCAGAAATTACAACATTGAATACATAACTCAAGACATTGATAAAAATAAAAGTTTAAAGGTTCTGCGCCGACAAATGACTGAAGGATTAAAAAATATTTGTAAACTTGTAAATAAAAAAGGAGAAACTACAACAAGTAAGGAAGATATTTTAAAAATTGCTTAAGATTTTTACTCAGAATTGTATGAGCGAGAACTTCCAGATCCTGATCAAAATCAAATACCAAAAGATCAAAATATAGACTCAGAAGATATCCCAGATATCACAACAGAGGAAATAAAATCAGCTCTCTCGGAGATGAAAAACAATAAATCACCTGGATAAAATGGAATAGTCATTGAAAAAATCAAAGAAGGAGGAGGAACGTTACTAAATGTGTTGAAAAAGATGTTCAATGCTTGTTTGACAAGAGGCATAACCCCCTCCCAGTGGCATAATGCAATAATAACCATAATACACAAAAAAGGTGACATTTCAGAACTCAAGAACTACAGACCTATTAGTTTGCTCTCCCATGCATACAAACTATTCATGAAGATAATACCAAAACGACTTGTGAACAAACTGGATAGTTACCAACCTTATGAACAGGCTGAGTTCCGCTCCAGATACGGAACAAATGATCATCTGCAAGTTGTAAAAACACTAATAGAAAAGTGTACAGAGTATAACAAGCCTATCTTTCTTATATTCGTAGATTATGAAAAGGCGTTCGATACTATAGATCATCATAAAATGCTTCGAGCATTGGCTGACTGCCGCATTGACTACCGATATATTGTCTTGATTAAAAGTATTTACGAAACTGGTACAGCTTGTGTCCGCCTTCGTGAAGATACCAAGAAGTTTCGAATAGAACGTGGAATTAGACAGGGTGATACTATCTCCCCTAAATTGTTTACAGCTGTTCTTGAATATATGTTCAAGCAAATGGAACGAGAGGATAATATGGGAATTAATATAAATGGTGAAGATCTGAACCACCTAAGATTTGCCGATGACATCGTTTTAATATCTGATAGAGTTGATAAAGCTACAAAAATGCCGCACATGCTCTATAAAGTGTCAAAAACAATTGGTCTTAAAATTAACACCTCAAAAACAAAATTTATGACCAACCTTATAGTCAGCGGTAAAATTCTGATTGAGAGCCATAGCATCGACCAAGTAATAGCTTACAAATATCTAGGGCATGAGATTCACCTAAGCCGAGATAATCAGACAACTGAAATACAAAGAAGGATAGGTCTCACATGGGCTGCCTTTGGTAGATTGAATAACATTTTATAGTCTAGTATCCCAGTTTGTTTAAAAAGAAAGGTTTTTAACCAGTGCGTTTTACCGGTTCTTACATATGGTACAGAAACACTGACTCTGACAAAAAGAACAATAGATAAAATAAGAGTTACACAACGCGCTATGGAAAGATCAATATTAGGTATTACCATCAGAGATAAAGTACCAAACCTAGAAATAAGAAGAAGAACAGGAGTCACAGATGCAGTTGAAAAAATAGCCAGGGCTAAATGGGCTTGGGTCGGACATGTTGCCAAATTAACGGATGACAGATGGACCAAAAAAATTCTTGGTCACTTGGTCACTTGGTCACACTCCGCTTGGAGTGGCGACCAAGGTAAGATGCATATCGAAGCAGAGGACGACCACCGACTAGATGGACGGATGATATCAAGCGCATCACCACAAACTGGATACAAGAAGCTCAAGACAGAAATAGGTGGAAAATTTTACGGGAGGATTAACGTTCAACAGTGGATAGGCTAATTGATGATGATGATACATATCTTAATACCTTAAAAAATCGATAAAAAGTAATAGAAATCGACTGATTTTTCATCATCTCTATTTTGAAATTAACTTTCAAATTCAATGGCTTTTTATCGGTTTTCTAACGTAGCCAAATACTTTTAGTACGTTAATTTGTTTAAAAAAAAACAAATCTATATTTTTGACTTTTTTATTTATTAGTAGGATACAAAGATGTCTGACATTAATCAAGATATATACGTATGTTTTATTGACTATAATAAAGCATTCGATAAAGTACAACATAAATAATTAATGAATGTCTTAAAATCAAAGAAGATTGAAACCGTAAAATAGTTTCGAAACACAATTCACTTTTCACTTTTTTCAAAGAAGATTGATTACACCGACCTCAGGATCATATTAAATTTATACCATAAACAGCTAGCAAAAGTACGTATCAATGAACAGCTGTCAGAACAAATTGAAATTAGATGTGAAGTGAGACATACGTATTTTCGACAATTCTTTTTAAGGCCTACTCCGAAGAGATCCTGAAAAACGCTCTTAAGGTTGAAACAGCTGGAATAAAGATAAATGAAGTTCCCATTAACAACATCAGATATGCGGACAACACTGTGATCTTAGCCGAAAATATTGAAGATCTTCAGAGACTGGTGACCAGAATAGCGGAGTACGGAAAAAAGTATGGTCTAACAATCAATGTCGAAATTTGTGAGAATATCGAAAACTCAAAGAAATCTTCAATCTCAAAGAAAGAAACAAGAATCTTCTAATAAACGGAACCAACGTCGAACAAGTTGACAAATATGCTTATCTGGGAACAATTATTAACTCCACAAATGATTACATTAAGGAGATCAAAATCAGAATAAAAAAGGCTAGAGCAAATTTCAACAAAATGAGACGAGTGCTATGTACAAGGAATTTAAAATTGGAACTAAGAGTTAGGTTGGCGAAGTGCTATGTTTTTTCGAATTTATTTTATGGAATGGAATCTTGAACCTTGAATGCGGCCTCAATGAAAAAACTGGAATCATTCTAGCTGTGGGTGTATAAAAGAATTCTGAAAATATCGTGGACAGAACACGTCATAAACAAAGAGGTTGTTAGAAGGATGAATAAAGAAATAGAAATTTTAAATACAATTAAAACAAGAAAATTGTAATATCTCGAACATATTACACGTGGTGATAAATACACCTTGCTCCAACTGATTATGCAGGGAAAGATCCAAGGAAAAAGAATCATAGGGAGGCGTAGAATGTCATGGCTGCGCAACCTGGGAGAGTGGTACGGATGTACATCAATTGAACTTTTCAGAGAAGCCGTCTCAAAAGTCCGAATAGCAATGATGATTTCCGATCTCCGTCGTGGAGATGACACTCGAAGAAGAAGACTTATCGGTACAGAATTGATCTTCTTCTTACGGTGCCTTATCATTAAGGACGTTGGCCATTACATTTGCCCATTTAATCTTATTTGTAGCAGCCCTGAATAGTTCTATGGAGGTCATGTTCGTCCGTTGCCGTAGGTTTTTAAGCCAGGTGTTGCGTCGTCTTCCTGGTCCTCTTTTGCTATTGACTTTGCCTTCGATTATAAGTTGGAGCAGTTCATACTTCTGATTTCTTATGATGTGACCAAAATATTGTGTTTTTTGTTCTTTTATTATAAGCATAAGCTCTCTTTCCATATTCATCCTCCGCAAGACTTCCGCATTTGTCGTATGGCTCATGTAGGATATTCTGAGCATTTTACGGTAACACCAGAGTTCGAATGCTTGGATTCTTTTTTGTGTTGCTTCTGTCATTGTCCAGGCTTCAACACCATAGAGCAAGTTGGAGAAAACATAGCACTTAAGTATTCTAGTTCTTAATGAGATGCCCAGCTGGCGGTTGCATAGAACTTTTTACATTTTGTAAAACATTGTACGTGCCTTTTCCAGGCGTATTCTTATCTCTGGTGAGTGGTCCCAAGTTTCATCAAGATTACTTCCAAGGTACGTTGTTCTTGTTATTCTTTCCAGATCTGTTCCGTCGACATTCACCTTCGCCCTTCTGTTTTGGTGCTTGCTGATGACCATCGTTTTTGTCTTCTTTGTATTCAATTTCATTCCAAATTCTCTACAGGCTGTCGTTACTCGGTCCATTAAGCGTTGTAGGGCTTCAGCATTATCTGCCAGTATGACAGTGTCATCAGCATATCGCAGGTTATTTATACATTGCCCGTTTATAATTATACCATCCGAAGTGCCTTCCAAAGCTTTCTGAAATATCTTCTCAGAGTAAACATTGAACAGCAAAGGTGATAGGACACATCCCTGTCTTACTCCCTTCTCGATATTGATTTTTCCAGATGTTTCGCTTTTTATTCTGATTTTAGCCTTTTGTTCTTGGTAGAGGTTTGAAATGATCCTTAAGTCTTTATCGTCGATATTACATGACCTTGACCTTGACAGAATTGATATAGGGGTTATATTAAATTTTACAGAAAAAAATACAATTTATACAAAACAGATCTACTTCAGAACCATTAGTTTTAATAATTACTTTGTTTCTCAGTGTAACTATAACTTTTACTACTGTTTTGAACGACTCCCTTATTACTTCTCTTAGTATACTAAGTAGTTTAACTGTCATTCTCCCTCCAAAATTTTGTCCTACGAACATAAAAGGTACCAACAAAGCTTTCATTTCTTGTTGGGTGGTGTATTCTGTGTTCTGATATCAAAAAAATCTACGAGACTCTTTGACAAATGTGCCTAAAATATCTATTATTTGTTCTATTACTTGCGTTCTGGTTCTACTAATTGTTGTTCATTTATATTAAAATAAAAATTATTTTCATTTTTGTTTGAGAACTAATTTTTTTAAAATGCTTTCTAACAATATGCCTAATTTTTGACCAACAGTTAATTATCATATTAATACGTTTAACAATAACTACAACCTTTTTATGTTTTGATTTTTATTTCAGGTTTTTAAACCAAGCTATATGGAAGTCAGAACTAGATGGCAGGCATATTAATTAGAAGACACGTGGCAATTAGTTCTGAAATATTTGAAATGGTTTATTAGAAATCTTTTTAAATACACAATAAAACCGTTTCAGTGACCTTAACGCTTTCCTGCAAAGTTCAATACTCACTTTAAAAAAGTACTTATTTTAAACAATGTATTTATGTTTAAATGTAATAGTTGTTGTGATTATAATTGTATTTATAGCTTTTTTAATTTGTAACGATTGCTTTCTTAAACACTGCTTTTAATAGTATTCCTAACGATCGGCATACTTAATAAATGTGCTATACCATATTAAACTACTTTCTCTAGATATTGTTTCCATATCAATATGTTCAAAAAACTATAAAATCTTATTACATTTCTTTATAGAATCCCGAATTATGTTTTCTATGTCTTTTACTAATTCTCTCTGTTTTATTTTTATTTTTCCATTCAGTTGGCGTTCAGTGATTCTTGTTTTCGTAAATTCGTTTTTGTATTTCTTCTTTATTTCTTCTTATTTTTTCTTTCACAGATCTCACGAACGCAGTTTGGATTCAGGGATACGTTAGGTCCAAGAAAAGCCTTGTTCACGGTTCAGGTATTATTTCAAAGGTGCAGAGACGTCAACTCCGATATTAATGTATGCTTTATCGACCACCACAAAGCTTTCGACAGAATCAAGCACGATAAGCTCATGGATATACTAAAATCATCTGCTCTGGATAACAAAAGCCTTCGAGTAATCAAGAACATATACTACAACCAACCAGCAACCATTCAGGTAAAAGACCAACTAACAGAGGAAGTTGCAATAAAGAGGGGAGTACGACAGGGCTGCACACTCTCTCTCCTATTATTTAACGTATATGCACAACACGTCATGAGCCAGGTCTTAGAGCATATCGAAGAGGGTATTCTTATAAATGGTGAGCGCCTGAATAACATCAGATATTATACAGACGACACCATACTCTTAGCAGACAGTTTAGAAAGTTTACAGACACTAGTAACGCCATTGTGGAGAATTGGTCAAGAATACGGGCTTGATTTTAACATTAAGAAAACAAAGTACATGGTCATCCGTAAGAAGCCACCTAGTCAATACTGGTCGATCAGCAACAAATACTCCAAATTCCCTGTTACTACTATTTAAGAACCACCATAAACGACCAATGGGACCACTCAGTTGAGATAAAACAAAGAATGGAAAAAACCAGGTCAGCCTTTGTCAGAATGAGCAAGATATTTAAGAGCCACGACCTACCCTTAAAAACAAAAATCCGTTTATTAAGATCCTACGTGCTTACAATGCTGCTCTATGGGGTTGAATCATGGACACTAACCGAGACATCCATGGAAAAACTCGAGGCGTTTGAGATATGGTGTTATAGATGGATACTGAGGATCTCCTGGGTGGACCGAGTAACAAACATTGAGGTTCTACGTCGGATGGATAAGACATGTGAAATTATATCCACAGTGAAACAGCGCAAGCTAGAATATCTTGGACATATAATGCGAAACGATCATAGATATAACACAGGAAAGGTTTACGGAAAGAGAGGACCAGGAGGAAGAAGAATATCTTGGCTCCAGAACTTACGAAAATGGTTTTCCTTGACCACTTCAGAACTATTTCGAGCTGCGGTCAATAAAGTTAGAATTACCATACTAGTAGCCAACATCTTCTTTCTTAAACAAGATTTCTTCTTTATTTGTTATTTCTTTGTTTTCAGCATTTTTGGCATTTACTATTTATTTTTAACATTTTTTTCTTATTTTAACTTAATTTTTCCTCTTTCTTTCCGTTCTTTATCTATATCTTATCTTCCTCCGTTTTAGACCAACTAAATACTTGTAAATAAGTGAAAAATTAACTATATGGTAGAGCAAATTTATTTATTATTCACAACGAATATATTGTACAATTTTTTTAAAATTATCTAGTCACAGGTGTGTCTAAACAAAATATTATTTTAGATGCAATGTCCATTTAATGTTCGAGAAAAGTTTTATCTTGTACATTATAAAGTAGCAGTGTATAAGGTATACGAAATATTATTGGGTAACTGAAATGAAAGAGGCAAGTTATTAAAATTCGTATTAATTTAACATTTTTCATTATTATTTCAATTTTTACTCGACACAACTGTATAGATGGGTTTGACAGTTGAAATATATAGTATGAGATATTACAAAGACTATTTCACTCATCTTAAAATTTTCACATAATCTGACCAATCACAAACCAAAGACAGCTTGTGTTATCGCGAAAACACCAACTGTCTTTCAATTCTGATTGGTCTATCAGCTTCGTGTTTTCAACGACGTAACCATGGATACCGATCGCAAAGCAAAGTTTGACGTTTGCCAAAAAAATTTTTTTTTTTTTTTGAGGATATACAAGGCAACTATCGAACACGGTGATTAATTTAATCTTGCCCAAGTACTTTCGATCAATAGATCATCTTCAGGGGCATTTCTTCAGTTGTGGCCTATCCGACATAGTAGAATGTCATAAATGTAAAATTTGGACATAACAATACAAAATACAATACACTAAGACAAACAAACACTTTAAAATTTATAAGGAGAAGCTACATGTTGTATAGAAGCCGGAGACAGAATTGATTCTGTTTGTCTTAGTGTATTGTATTTTGTATTATGTCCAAATTTTACATTTATGACATTCTACTATGTCGGATAGGCCACAACTGACGAAATGCCCCTGAAGATGATCTATTGATCGAAAGTACTTGGGCAAGATTAAATTAATCACCGTGTTCGATAGTTGCCTTGTATACTCTCAAAGTTTAATTATTCGAACATTCAACCTTATATTGATTGAAAAAAATTATTGTAGCTGTATACGTCAAAATGAGTCGTTTCGGTGGTACTTCAAACGAAATTATAAACGAAAACATTGAAGAAAATATACCGAGTAACGCAAGAAAATCTAAATCCTATAAATGGAGACAATTTATGATGTTCTGTGTGGATCGCAACTACAAATTAGATGCAGAAAATAACAGCGAAAGACTAGCATTCATTCTAAGAGACTGGGCATTCAACATGCGAAAAATTAATGGTAATGATTACAAGGAGAGTGTTATTAAAACCATATGGAACACTTCTGCAAAATTGGTACAAGAAAAATATTTCTGTGAGTATCAGAGACATATTGATCCCTTCAAAGACATAACCTTCAAGGAAGCGAGAGCGGCTCGTGATAGTAAGAGAAAATTGTTGCAAACTGTACCCGATAAAAGGAAAATGAGTTCTGTCGATATGACTTCGGATGAATATAAAAATCAGTAAAAATCAGTTACTACAATCTGGTGTTAGTGAACAACAAGCTATGAAAATTACTGGACATGGAAGTTCGAACTCGTATTTACATCTTAGTGCCGAAGATCATCAGAACATAGTGAATACTTTTAGGAATAATCCAAGTACATCAGTAGTAATGTAAGTAATAATAGCAACAATACATTGTATTCACCTAATAACGGTCATAGTATTCAAAATTTTTACAATTGCACCGTTTATAATAATTATAGTCGAGAATAATGTATTTTTTTCGTGTACAAATTATTGATTGTTATAGGTAAAAAATAATTATAACAAATTATTTATAGTTATAATAAATATTTCATGATTATGACTAATTGTGAATTATTCAAAAAATGGGTCGATTTGGGTTACCTAGATCAAATGTATTATTATTAAATTCTTTCCTCTCATTCTACTGAATTTTTGACCTATCACTTTGTTCATGAAATAGTCTAATAAAATACTACTCATGATTTAATTTAGCTTATAAGTCTGTCTTTTATTTCTAAACTCAACTGTGTTTCTTAAAGAAAACGAGTTTTCAAGCAACTCAGTTTCGTTTAAAAGTAAATCGACAGACTTATTGCGAAAATTGAATCACTAGCGGTATTACTATCGAAAATCTCCTCTAGGGATTCATATTTTTTTAGTTTATTCTTAAATAAATAACCAAAACGTTAAGCTCAATATTTTGTTCGTAACTCAAAGACTTGCCTATTTAGAGATTTGACGTAAACGGACAACTTCTTTGGAAAGAAAAGATAAACAAAATTAGATGTGTTAAGTTAAAATCGGTTAACAAATAAAAAAAGTATTGTAAAAGAAGGAACAAAATCATTATTTTAAATATTATTAATTTTTTTTATTATTTATTAAAATTTGTTTAATTGTACCTGAACTTTAGGGTCTTATGTTTGAAAAGGTTTTTCTTCTTTTTCTTTTTCTTTTTATGTAGACATGGCTCTGTCTGTTTTTCAATGTGCCTCCAGTAAGTTGTCGTTCCATCGTTTTCGTGGTCTTCCTACTGATCGTCTTCCTATTGGAGAACCGTCTCTTGTCGTATTTACGTTGTCATTCGGCATATAGGATCGTTCCATTCTACTTTTCTATTTTTTACCCAATTCTTGATGTTCTCCACCTTGCTTCTACGTCGTATATCTGTACTTCTATCTCTGTCCCATAATGTCTTATCATTAATAAGTGTTTTTATCTCTGCTGTTTCTAACATCCTTTTTGTTCTCTATGCCTCAGGTCATATTTCTGCCGCGAATGGCATTATTGGTCTGATGACTGTTTTGTAAATTCTGTCTTACATTTCTTTCACGATATTTTTATTTCTCCATATTATTTCATTCAGGCAGCCTGTGGCTCACTTTGCTCTATTCACTTGATATTCCACTTCAGTTTCGAGCTTGTCGTAGCTAGATAATGTGATACTTAGATATTTAAACTCCATATAAATATTTTTGTATCCTTATACATTTATTCAATTCTTTCTAGAATTGCCTACTTGTTTTCATTCTTTTTCATACCGTATTTTAAACTTTGTTACTTTCCATCTACACTTTGTAATAAAGATTTACTATTTTTTTCTGTATTTTTTATGTCTTCTTTTCTATTTTTTGCATTTTACCGTTTTATTTGATTGTTTATTCCTTTTAATATTTTTATA